AGTAGTATAAGTGGTGGTAGTGGTAGTGATGGTGGTAGTAGTGAGACGGAATGCCGGGTGACCTCTGGAGGAGACACAAGGGTCAACGTTGTCGTCACAGTGATGCGTCCGTCATGCCAGTGTGTGCGATAGATGTCTGTTGTTTATGGAGAAAGTAAAGGAAGAAAGAGAGGGAGAAGAGAGAACGTGACTGGTGATGTACTGTACACAAGGCACCACTCACACCTGTCATCTCGTGTCCTCCTCCACCAGTCATGTATGTATATGCATGTGTGTGCTTTGCTTTATGTACACTGAATTATGCAAATTATGACACTTATCGAATGTCAGTTGTCTACGACCACTCGAGTACAGTGCTGGGGGATGGACTCACAGCTGAGTACAGTACGTTAGTTATGCAACAAATTCCCCCCAAGCTAACTCACTTCTTACTCTAACTTAATTTTCTTAACGTAATAATTACTTAACCTAACCTAACCAACTTCTAACCTAATTTGTATAACTTAATTCCAATTTAACCTAATTCACTTAACTTACCCTAATCTAATTTAAAGTCCTTAACCCAACCCAGTTTAATTGCCTTCTTGTGATCTAACGGGATAATAGTTCAAACTTGAAGGTGATAATTAATCCACTTCATTTTATTTACAGTTCAAGAAATTTGTTGTTAGGGAAATTTTAAGTGAATATTGAGTTAGCTCACATGAAGATTAGGTACCCTATTCTACCGCTATACCTAAGGGGGTTAAGTTAGATTAAGCTATTTTATGCTAGGTTTAATTAGATTAAGTTGAATTATGTTAGATTGAATTAGATTAAGTTAGCATTAGGAAGGTTAATCTTTGGGGGGTGACTCAGAGCTCCCATCCAGCACCATTTTCTGTACGTCCCTGGTGTCAACTTTTTGTCTCGTCTTCTATAATAATCACCTACACTTAACAAGATGGGAAGACTTTGATTGTTGGGTCATGGGGAAAAAAGCGGACCCGGAGGCTGCTGGGATTTGTGTCTGATACCCAGAATTTTCGTCCACGTTGCACAAAACGATAATTAATTGTTTGCTGGAAATATCTGATCTGGTATTGGGAGGAGGCTGTAAAAAATGTTTATAACAACGTCAGATTCTGTTTATTTATTTGTTTATTTATTTATTTATTATTATTATTATTATTATTATTATTAGTAGTAGTAGTAGTAGTAGTAGTAGTAATAGTAGTATACAGAACACTCAGTCAAGGCCAACAGCTATATACTGTAGGTCTATTTATCAAGACTCATTGCGTTTCTGTGTGTGTGTTATATTATAGTACAGTATTTTGTTGTGTGAGGATTGTTTTATTTTTTATGTTAAATGTAACCTGGTAAGCGTTAATACTCTTTCCTGGTACATATATATCAGTGGTCAGCTGTCACACGCGCGTTCATCGTGCCCACACAACGCTGGAGTGACTGTATTCATTATTTAAATACCATTGTGGTTGTATTTATTAGCATGTTATTTAAATTATAAAATAATTCTTCATTTACATCTTTTTTAAATACCAAATTGCTTGTATTTATTCACATTCTTATTTAAATGCCAGTTTGAGGCAGTGCATGTGGTCGCAAGTCACTGAAACCTGATAGAGTGTAAACAAACTATCCTTGTCTAACGGCGCACAAGATGTTAAGGACACAACAGGTTATTGGCATTGACTGAGGTGGTGGGTTAATGCCTACTGTATACTGGTGGGATTTTGTCTACTGGAGAATTCTTTGGTGGGATTATGTGTCTTAGCTCACGTCTCCAGGACTTTAGAATATATAATACCTGTTACCCGGTCTATGAAAGAGCAGGTTTAAGATGGCAAGAGGCGTATGGTGGACAGGTAACAAGAAGGTAATTAATCAAGACGTGATAGTGGTATCTTGTACAGTATAGGTGTGTGGGTCTTGCCAACGTCACCAGCGTCATCAGCTTAAGAGTTGTAACAGTCATACAAAAACGAATTAATATTTCAATCATGCCTCGAAAATGATGGGAATAATGAGAAGGAAGTAATAATGTTCTTAAAAAACCAGCACCGGAAGCTCCTGATAAACGTGGGTAATGAGAAAGCACAGGGTCTTCAATGACGATGCCTTCGCGCAGTTAAGTAGTTCTCGTGTTTTTCAATAAACTCCATTTAAGCTAAACTAACCTAACTGTTGTGTAAATTTTCGAAGGTGCATTTGGTTCCTCTCAGTGTTTTATTGTATTTCATATTATTATTATTATTATTATTATTATTATTATTATTATTATTATTATTATTATTATTATTATCATCATCATCGTGACATCTCGTTTAGTTAGGCCTTGACATCTTGGCTATAGCGACAAAGAACAGTTGTGTACTTTGACGCTCTTTGAATAATATTTCTGTGTATATAAATATAAGTGCTGTGTTTTTTTTCACTGTAGACTAAGATAAATGTGTACTGTACACCTGACGTGTGTGTACAACTTGGAATGATAGCA